TGCACCAGATGTAGGTAATGTCCTGGAATGAAGTATCCATGCAATTTATGCCGTGATGCATTTTTTCCCGATTTGTTTACTGAATTTCAAGCACTTTAATACTTCTATAATGATTACATATTGCAGAAGACTTTCTTAATTTATGTTAATCTTGAATATTTAGACCCATATTTTATAGTATTATCATTGAATTCCTAATTGCTTCTCCCTAGATGGGTGGGTCATCTGCACTTCCATATCCTGTTCTGAAGCAACGGGAAGCTGTAACAGGTCACCGCCTTTTGGAACGCTATGGTATGACCGAGAGTTTGTCATGGTATTATCCAATCCTTTGCAGATTGTTTTTCTGTGTTTTACAACTAGGAGCAAAAACATGGTCGCAAACCCGATCCTATTGAGATGTTTTATATAGTGCACAAATGGCGAGATGAAAACAAAAGTTGGATAGATGATGCATCGGAGGAATTGGCGGTGAGTTTGAAATTTAATCATTTGTATTTAGACAAGTAATACATGTAAAAAATTGCTTTACTTCATACTGTGTCCATTTTGGCTGTTGAAGTGAATTCTTTTTTCAGGTTAAGATCTCACGGGAATTAACGAGTTTGGTTGAAACCCATGGCGAGGAAACATCAGAACTAATGCAACAAGCTTATGTAGCAGCATCGTCGTTCGCGATCTCCTTCCCAACAACACTCACCTTCCCAGCACACTCCGACATCGTACCCATATCCTCCATATCAGCATCTTCCACCGTATCCGTATACATCATCTTCGCAGTTCTACTACCCCCATCCATACCAGCCACCTTTGTACCGCCCAGTGCCAACCCCACCTGGAGAGTTTACAGCAATGCTCAATGATTCAGATTTTATGCAGCAGATGATGCCACTAAATGATAGGAATGGCGGGGGTAAAAGTTAGATATTTTTACATTCATGTTGAAGGTAAACTTTGTTGGTTATTTTAAGTTATTGTTATTTAAGTTATTGTTGTACTATTTGTCACACGCTTTTAAAGCAATTTTGGTACATTATTATGTAATCAAATTGGATTGACTTCTTATAAATCAAAATTATTCATGTTTCAATTATTTTATGTTTGTTTTTCAATTTAATTATATGAATTAAAAATTAATTATTTTTTCCAGATTTATTAAAAAATAAAAATATTAATATCAAATTTAAGTTATTAGAGGCAATTATATTTGTACCTTAAATTAATACATTTATTTTAATTCTAACTATTTGGGGCATTTACATCTGCACCTAATAAGTTATTAGAGGCGATTATATTTGCCTCTAATACTTTTTCAAATAAACCTGCTGAGGTGGCGCATTGAGTATTTGGGGCGGAAGTTTGTGCAATATTGCCCCTATTAACTATTAGCAACACCACATTTAGGTGCGGATACGAGATTTGCCACTCATGTAATTAGAGACAGATAATTCTATTTATTTGCCTCTAATTGAATTAAAAGTGACGAAAATAATTGCCCCTAACTCTTCTTTTTTTTGTAGTGAATGGTCCTTACTTGGATCAAAATCAACTACATGACCTGAACAAACCAGTTAGTAATGAGGAGATAAGATGGATGTATTTTCACTACAGAAACAATGCTTTATGATTTTTTTTTTGCAAATTCCTTTAGAGAGTATTGGAGTATCATTAAACTTAATATCATTGCAGCTATGATGGATTACTTCATCAATGACAAATTATTAGGTGGATAATTCTACTACAATTAATATGTACATTTATCTAGCCTGAAATGTCAAGATTTTATCTATCTACTAAAACTAAAGGGAGTTGCACTATAGCCTATCGTCGTAGATGCTACAATATAACTCCAAATAGTATTAAATATATATAAATGTGGCTTTTGTCTTATAAACCCAACCAAAGTTTCACCCCAATTTATTTTAAGCCCATTCCTTCCAAATCTTTCTTACGCCCAAGATGCCTCCATCAATATTAGTAGTATAATATATAATAATATAATAAATATGATATGAATTTCTTATTTACATGTAAATTAAAAGCTTTACCCTATCTATTTTTAAACTACCCACTTTCAAAACACTTTCAAAACATTTTTAAACCCATTATTAAGAACCATTATTCTTTGGTCATTTCATGCTAATGTCATGACATCTTGCATTTTAGATGTATTTTTTACATGTAAACCAAATTCTTATCCCAATTAGTTTTTATATCT